TCTCCGGCCAGAGCTCGCGGAGCTCCCGCGGTTCCATGAGCGCCTACCCCGAGCTGCAGCTGCCCTCGCCCCGCTCCTCCGTGCTGGGGCCGGGTCTGCAGGAGGACGGCGCCGTGCCCGAGCTGGGGGATGTCTACCACAAGATCCATGCCCAGTCCCCGCCGCGGCACGACCAGCAGCACCTGGCCGCCCCTCCCGAGGCGGCGTCCCCGTACGCCTACAGCCCTACCAAAAGCTCCACTTCGGCTCCCAAATTCAAGCTCCCCTACCAGGTGACGCCGTGCCGGGAGAGCGGCCCCAGCCAGGCGGAGAGGCGGCTGGAGGCGCTGACGCTGGAGCTGGAGAAGGAGCTGGAGATGCACATGAAGAAGGAGTACTTCGGTGAGTGAGCAGCCGGGGTGGGGCACGGGCAGCTGCGGGGCTGGAGCGGGCAAGCGGCTGAAGGGCAGTGTCTGGGGCCTGGCCGGAGCTAGGTAGGTTTGGCTGCAGTTAGGGCGTGAGTGTGTGATGCCCAGGCTGCCCTTGACCAGGTATCTGTAGAAGCCCTCTGTCCCTGTACGTGCTGTCGAACTGGTCTAGCCAAGTAGTGCTTGGACCATATCTTGCTCCTGTCTCTCTCCCGCCTATTTCTTATGCGATTTGCCAGGGATTTGTGGTGCTTCCTCTTCCGTGTGCGGATGGGAAACTTCTCTGAGGTGCTCCAGAAGCTGTTTGTGCTGTGGGGGCTTACAGTGGCTCTCATTTACCTCCCTTTCTCATGGGTTGCTTCAGTAATAACCTACAGCATCTCTGAGGCTGTGGCTTTGGAGATGATGCTCTCAGGCCATCTGTGGTAATTTATAGACGATGAGCATGGCTGGTGGAGCAATTTTTAGTGCTTTGTTGATTAAAAACTTTGTGCTAATTCAGCATGCCTGTGGGAGCTCGGCATTATCTTTGCCTCGTGAGGCCTCGCAGGGTCTGCTGAGTACGTGAGGCTGGCAGGGGTCAGTGTCATCCCTGGGGTGGGAGAGGAGAGCCCTTAGTCCTTGCTGAGGCTAAATCAGCCTGCTGGTAATCTTCTGAATTTTTCTTGCTTCTTTGTAGAGCAAAAGTATCTTCCTGAAATGAGTGAACCTGTTTTGTAGTCACACGGGATTAAGCTTCCCTGTGTTTCTTACTTTGTACTGCGTGGAAAAGGCCAGAATGCCTTTGAAAGATGATCCTGGAGTGTGCAAATAGTTCCCTGTTTCTTCTGTGCTGGGGACTGCAGATGAGCTGGGCAACTGTGGAACCTGGGCAGCCTTCTGGAGCAGTTTGTCCTGTGTTTGAATGAGAGGTGAGGGCTCTTGTGTAGAGATGTAGAACTTGTGGCAGAGGAGGAAGAAAGAGTCCTAAGAAGATGAGGGGCTGTGGATGAGCCAGCCCCCATCCATAGCCTTTGAGGGGACAGGCCACAGGGGAGAGGCTTGGTGGTGGTGTATGATTTGTGTGATTCCTGACCAGCATGAGTGTTGCTGAGGATGGAGGCATGCATTACCTGGGTTGCTCATTTAAACATGAGGATTCAGACTGCTTTTGGTGCAGCATTAGTTTGCCCTGCATGGAAGGGAGGAGTTGCAGGTCTTGCAAGCATTTGTGAAATGCTTGTAGCAAGACAAACCTGGGCTGATCAGCAGGGGTAGGTGGGTGAGCAGTACCATCTCCTACAAGGAAAACCTGTCTGTGACCTGCAATAGCATAGTTTCTACAAGCTCTTGTGCCAAAACGAAGGAAGCTGGATACAGTGCTTACTGCCTTCCTCCTTCCCGTGTGTGGCTGATAAGAAAGTTGATGGCCTGCATCTTTTGCTGGGTCTGGCACCTGGTGTGGTACTCCTCACCAGCTAAGTGACTCCAGCTGAGAACAATAATGGTTTTCTTCTGAGTATGTGCTATAGCTGGATGGGGAGCTTGTTAACACATCTAGCTGGGAGAAAGGTTACCTTCAAAATTTCAATGATATGCATCAAGAGGTTGAGAAATAAGGTTTATTTGGAGTAACAAACAAGATAAAACTGTTGTGAGCCTCTGAGAGTGGCTTCCAGTGGCCAGGGAAGCTGGGTGTGTGATCAGAGACTCCAGGAGCAGCCCTGGAGAATCCATGTTGTGAGTGGGTTTTTCTTACAAGAATTTGCCAGTTGTGTCACTACTGCAGGTATGTTCTGAAGTGACATGTTGCAGCATGCCCCAAACCTTGGTGGATCCATCCCATGCAGGATCAGCAGCAAGCTTGTGCCTTTATGCGTAGACAGTGTACGTACCAGCTGCTCTGTAGGTATTTGTTGCAGCAGCATAAAGAAGTTGCTTCTGTGACTTGCACCCTGGAAGCAAATGAAACCCAGAAGACTGGGGTGCATTAAAAGAGAAAGTTGATTTGAGAGTTGTTGAGGTTTTGATAAATCCTGTTGCACTTGATCCCACATTGCCGGTTCTGATCACCCATGGAGGTGAATGCTGAGCTTCATCTGAGCAAGCTCAGGAGGGGCTGGCAGGAACAAGGACAGTGAGAACAGGATGGGGAGAAGTGTGCTATTTAGTTTGACTTATCTGAGGTAAGAGTCCTAAAAAGTGTTAACAAAGGGAAGCAAGGAGAAATGCGCCAATTTGTGTAGCAGCTCGCACATACTACAGCTGAAGTCTTCCCTTATGTGTTGGCACACTCCAAAGGCAGTTGCAGGGTGTTCTGTGATGCCCATGGAGAACAGAAGTGTTGAGTCAATTGTCTAATGAAGGCAGAGGGAACAGAGGAGATAGTTTGATACTCCTTAATTAAATGAGCTCAATTGTCTAGTGAGTAAATGCTTATATGAGGACAGTGGTAACTTTACTGTGCTGTTCCCTCCCCTCCCAAAATAATATTATTTTTTAATTGAGCAGTGTTTTATTTTGAAACAGGTTAAGTGACTAACCGGTTCTTTTTGGATGAGGAGCAACCCTACCCTGCCTTTCCTCTCTTCGTGGGTCAGTTTGTCTGAGTGTTTCCCAAACTAAACTGTGCTTATGCTGGCAATCCCTGGCTGCTCTTCCATACCTCACTGCTTTGCTTCAGGAGAAATCTGTAGTCTGAGGCAGATAAATACAGGATGGAGGACACGTGCAGGGTTTGAGCATTGGAAAGGCTCTGGAGGAGCCACAGAGTGTGCAACCTGGCGGGTCTAGGGGACTGAGAGCCATCTTTGCTTGTGCTAATGTGAATGTCTCTGACCAGTACTGTGCTGGGATCTTTGCTTTACTATCTCATCTTTTCCATCTTTCCCTTTCTTTTGATGAGCTTCAGTGCATCTGTAGGGAGGAGGAGAATGCCCTTCTGTGGTTGGTTTAATCTGACTGAGGATGACAGTGCCCCAGGAGGGATTCTCTGCATCTGCCCTAACTCCAGTCCATAGCTGTGAGGTAGCACCCTGCCACTTCCAAATGCTCCCACCAGCACGTTGTAGCCACATACACTCACTGACCTTACTGAAAATGAAGCCTGCAGAGAAGGAAGGAGAAAGGGAGGATTTTTGCAGTCTGGATTTGAGAGCTGCTCCAATTCATCTGTGTTGATGAGGTGACTGGAGCTGACCTAAGGGTGAGGGTGTAGACAGAGGGTCCAGACTCTGTGCCTTTGGTAGAGGTCTGCAGTTGGATGGGGTGTAAAAGCTAAGAGACTTCATTCCCATGTAGCTGCTTCCTCTGAGACCCCTGTCAAGGTACTGACAGTTAAGTAAACATGCTCAGTTCAGTGGCAGTTGCTGAGAAGTGAGATAATAAAAACTCACTTTCTTAACTGTTCTCAGCTGAGCATTCATATGTGATAAGGTGAATTGTCAAAGTTATGTTACAGTTTTGTTTAAATTGAATGTGTTTCCTGAGGTGTCAGCAGAACATTTGTTGGTTTTTGGAAAGTCATCAGCTCCCATGCCGTCTTGAATTTTATTTACTTTGCAGGATTCTTCAGTTTGATATCTAGGTGTTGAAAAAGGCAGTTTAAGGCAAAACTGGGATTGTGGCATGCCCATCCAAACCAAGCAGTCCTTGAGGGACTGACTGCAAACCTACACCTTGTCACCTACTAGGCGGGGAAATGTCACAGCATTGAACAGTCATGCTGATTTGGCTGTTGGTTTTTGACCAAGATCTCTCCATATGTCCTGTGACTCTGCTGGTGTGTTGTCAGAAATGGAAGGAGAGTTGATGGGGGGACACGGACAGCAATCATGCACTCCCAGCAGCCTAGCTGTGTTGCAGCCATTGCCCAACAAGGCCTGTCAGCTCATTTTGATCAGGGTGGTGGGATACAGTGCAAGAAGTGACTTAATTGTCTGACTGTCTTGAATAAATAGGAGGTGAAGGAGGCACTGTGAGACTAGGGAGGCAGAGAGAGTGTGGATTGTTTCCTCCCTGTGCAAAGTCTAGAGACAGACGAGCAAGTTTGCAATCTTTCTGGTGTCCTTTGACACCCCTGTGCAGTCCTCTTTGTGAAGGTGGTTTTTCTCATCACTACACACTGAGCATCTTCCCCACACTTTGCTGCCACCTCATCCCCTATATCTCTTGCAGAATACAGCAAGCTTGTACCTCATATAGAACTCCTCAGTGAGAAATGACTAGTCCCATCACAGCAAGGTGATGGTTTTCTTGTGTTCCACAGGTGCATTTGTCTGACTCTTCTCCACCCTGAGGGAAACAGCCCCTTTCTCAGTATCCTGTGAAATAACAAGCAAAGCAGGGGTTGGTTGATGTCTGAGTGAGGCACAAAGTCTGGATTATGTTAATAACTGTAGTCATTTGTCTAGCAAAACTCTGTTCTTACCCTAGAAAATATGCTTGACTTTTGAGAGCTCTTGGATGTTTCCAGAAAACCATCCAACAGTACTGGCACACATTTTTTTGGAGCACCACCAGGAAATGCTACTGATAACATCCTGTTGAAAAGCCTTTGGCTTGGTACGTAGGTTAAGGAATAGATCCCTAGACACATCCACACCCTTTCTGCCCTTTATGTACATAGTCATACATGCAAATCTGTTTCTTTGCATTGAGAAATCCTGCTGGCATTGCAGGATTGGCTTTTGAGCCCTACAGTGTGTTTGTGAGTTCAGAGTTGTATGTTCGTGTTTCTTTTGTGTGTTCAGACTGATGTGATAAAAGGATGTATATACAAGTGAGATCAAAATTAAGTCAGATAATGTTAAGTCTCTAGAAGCTCCATTGCTTAAAAATGTAATTTGAAAGTCTGAATGTAATTTAGATGAGCTTGCAGTTGGTGACTACAACACTTGATGCATTTGCTGAGGTGTTGCTTTTTGTTGTATGATTTCCTGAAGCTTTCTTGTTGAAATATTAGATCTTTCCTGTTTCCATCAAAATAGATGTAAC